AACCATAATCTAACGTGAAAAGAAACAATGTCTAACATCCCCCTCCCCTCTCCAATCGAGAACCAATATCACAATCCAGGACCAGAACACCAAGGGACATTTCATTCATACTGAAGTCATTACAATATATGTTGAAGAAAAATTGAAAAAATTGATAGCCAATACTCATAACATCAAAAATAGTAGATACTAGTACTCATAAAAGAGTATTCAGTCTCAAATGATGTGGGATAGATAAAATCCAGTCTCGAAGTCCATAGGCAAATCAAAGGGTCAACATCCGTTCGCAAACCCGTCATCATAATCCATGAAACACAACAATTCACAATGGTCATCAGGAGAAAACTATGGCTGGTTTCGATCCCTATTTCTCAACTATTAATGCCATAGCCGGTGTGAAAGAAATGATGGTCCCCCAGGGATTATGGTCCCCTTTCTTAACGGCCCTTACTGGCCCTGATTATGTATAAGATAAAGAGGGAAAAAGATGTATTTAGGTCACCATGTAAATCAATTGAGAGTAGGACCATGATTTGATAGGACCTCCTACCCTTTTACACCGGGATCCACCTCAAAAGGTGCCAAGTGAAAAAATTGTGAGTTCATTGCCAATTTAATTATACCATTCCTACATCCCTCAAGTGGTAAAACTTGAAATTTCGAAAGGGATTGTCCCGTACGTGTTATATCACACGATTTGGACTTGTTTTTTAGGAACTTGAGAGGTAGGTTGATGAATTTGGTTATGAAATTGCTGTCACCTGACTTCATGTAAATGTACGTAATTTGTATTGCTTACCATACTATATATCCTAACTTCAGGTACCCGTTAACGCGTTATTTGCACGAATCGTATGCTATATTCTTGTTATATCGGAACGTTAGCGATTCTGGCAGTGTTACATATATTTTTGCTTGAAAATCACTAGCCTATCTTGTATTCAATGACTACATCGATTCATAAGGAAATTACTCACAATATATGCGAAAACACATGTTAAAGGAGCTTAGATAAGTAGCAGTTGACCGAATTTTTTTAGAATTAACTATTTGGACATGTCCAAAATATTCCAGTTAGGGCCCTAATGATATTGAATTGTTATTGGAACGATTTGTACTTGTAGAAACATTGAAGTTTAACGATTTGGAAGTGATAAGCAGCTCAATAAACATTATATATTCCCGAAAAATGATAAGGATGTGGAAAAAGTTGTTGTCTGAGTAATACAATCTTAATTATAAATAATTAACAATAATTGAAAGTGAGACATAATATGTCAAAGTTGATTAATGGAATCATTACAAAATTTAATACTTTAAATCAAAATGGCTGAACTCAGACATGCAAGGTCGATGCAAGTGAATTGCACCCCCCCCCCAGGCTACGCCCATGTTTTTGAAAATATTATTTTGAACCAGAGTTGATGAATTAGCAAAAGAGTATTACATGTTTAAGTCATTGGCTGCAGTAGCGCAAGTGATTAAGATTATCTAGATGTAATTAAAAGGTCATGTCAGTGATTTGGGTGCCGAGAACTAGAGAAGGGAAAAATTTGACTCATTGCTTTTTTTAACTGCCTCGTCGCTAATTTAAAAACTTGACTCGTCGCTACACATGTATTTTTAATTTGCCTCAAATAAGTTTTAAAACATTCCAATTTTCTATAACTCACTTTCCACTGCTATGGACGTAAATACATTTAATAAAAGTGAATATAAATTTTCGTTTTAGGTGCATTAAATGTATTATGATCGCCTAATTGTAAGGAATAACTTCACTGTTATTTACTGATCAAAATATTTTGGGTTTACCTCTGGATTTTTGAACAATTTATTCCGTTGTTATTATATAATTTGCCTCGCACCATGGCAATATCTGCCTTAAATTATTTTTGACACTTTCCATTTGATTTTAATTCCATTAAATAGGTATAAACTGTACAGTAATGTAATTTGCTATAGCTAGTTAAATCACAACATGTGATGTTCTTGTTAAATCATACATCTGGCTTTAGTTCAAAAATGCTTCTAGCAGAAATATGGGATAGTCAGAATTTTGTTTTTGAATTTATTTTGGTACTTGAATTTAAAAAAAAGCAAAATCGTGCCTAACGCAAGCCCTGGCCAAAGGTTTAGGTTGATAAAAATATGACAATATCAAAAAAATATGTCAATCCCATAATTGATAGTCTTATATCTCCATATACCTTGATCATGGATAGTGATAAGAATTCTGAATACATCAGTTGGATGTAATTTCACATAATGTCCAATGAATGTGTTTTTCTCGGCGCTTTTGAAAGCGCACTCATTCGTGACACTTATTCCGGGGAACTGAAATTACAAAATATGTGAAGAGTGATGTATTACAAACACTCCTCTAAACGTAAATGATTATTTTCAGAAGCATGGACAATTTATAAGGCAACAAAACGTGTGACCACTACTACAATACAATTCCAAGTCGTTAATTTTAACATGTCTAAAACGTTAACTGTACTATTCCCAATCGTTAACCTGGTAATTATAAGACACGTCCATGTCGTTATATTGTCTCTTCTCCACCGTTAACTACATTTACGGTCATTTATGGCAATTCTAAGATAAAGATAGTTGAAATATAAAGACGATCTTTAGAGAAGTGAATACTATTCGACGTTGTTGATCGTGGGTAAGTTATGTTAGTTTGTAAAATATAGACTATTCTTAATTTTTTGCTCCATTCTTAAAAATGTATCTCACGAAGCACTGGTAATGAGGAATCTCAGGTTATATTTTATATAAAACAATAAACTAATTAGTTCTTAATTAATTGGAGGTAACGATGGATGTGGTGAATAATGGTTCATATTCACCATTTATAATTAGTTATGATTATAGCCTTCATTGGGGTGTCGTTTTCCTATTATTGTTATAAATCTCAAAAGTCTTTGTACAACAACCCCCCCCCCTCCAATTACCCTCTGCGTGTTTTATGTATGTATGTGTTCTGACGTGATACGGCCTCATATTGGTACACATGGGCGTGTAATATTTCGACAACCAGGGATTGGCCTACCGTCCAGCTCTCAATTCACGTTTCCAGGGACCATATTACAATTATTTTCCGTTCCGTATACCTTGATACTCAATCGTTCAAATAAACAGTACAAATGAGAGAACTTATCCACAGAGAATCACAATTACACATTCACATACAACTTTAAAAACGTGTATCTTGTCCTCCCTATTACAAAGTCATTTAATGGAAGTAAAATGCCGATTCAAACTCTTGATAACATGTTCAGTGATGTAAACGAGGAAGACTATATCATAAACAAAACAATAAATAAAAAAGATAAATATGCAATTATGCAACTTGGTTGACAGACGCAGGTGGGTACAACAATTATTGCTTGATAGTAGCCGTTAGCGTTACATTTGCGTAGATGAAAATTGGACTGGATCTTGTGTAAAAGAAAGTATTGTCCTTGTGCTTATTGTCACCGTTTCCAATAAATACATTTACACCATATTCGGCTTATCACTTATACACGTTTGAGGCCAGGTAAACATTCTCGGTGGAATACATTATTTTTTACTTGGGGGGAGGGAGGGGTCAGCCCAGAGCAAATTTTAAAAGCCTTATCTGGTGACGCATCTCAACAAAATTGTACCCGACTTTATTACGTAATTGACATTTACATCGTCTTCACAGATATTTATAAAAGATTAAAATACCCTGCTCATCTCGTATTCATTCTCGTTTGTTTTTACAAAACAAGTCCAAATCGTGTGAAAACACGTCCGGAACAATTTCCACTGTTTACGCTTGGTCACCGTGTTGGTTGGTTGATTTTATAGATATATTGGCTGTAAATGTAAAATTGTCCAACTTTGTAGGAGGTTACTTTAGAACTATACTATGTGCTCAGGGTACTAAATCACGACTTGACTTGATGTTTAAATGAAATGCAACACCAACATCTTGCAATGATTGTACGATGAGTAGATCAAATTTAAAGCTCATATAAAACACCTTTGGTGGAGTGACTGCATGAGTCTTGTCATAATTATCCCACATGAAGCAGAAACACATTATACCTTCGAAGAATAAGTTCTTTGGGTATACTCAACTAGTACTAAAACCCCTAGAACAGGCCCTGCAAGGTGGTAATAATATGTGATATTGATTTAGTCCAAAATCCATCTTTGGAAAATACACGATGATTGGATCAAGCAAAATGGTGCCCATGGATCTCTGTTTCTGTTGAAAATTAGTCAAATGATGACACACTGACTGGAGATGTTTAGTAGATGGCCATTTAATGAGCCATATACAATAAGATTGTCTCGTAAAATGTTGGCCATTTTCAAATGACAGCAATATTTATATGCGTTATTTTGCTTGTAAAGTAGAGGAAGGATTTTGCCCATGTTTAGTATATGAATATGAGGCCATTTGAAAAATGTTTAATGGAATATTGCCAAGCCTTGGTACTATCATTCCCTATTGGTTCGTTATTAACATCACCTGAACATATTATATTCACTATTATTGAATATAATTTGATACCAACAATATTAATAAAAACCAGACGGCAGTGTAGCTATCGTACCGTAGATGAATACTGAAGGAAGCCATTGCCCTTGCTAATTCACATGCATCATGAGAATAAAACTGATATAATAGCTAAAGCATGAAATCAAAGGAACAAAATTGATGTCAAAGCTAAAACATAAAATCAATGGAATAAAACTGATGTCATAACTTTACACATAAAATCAGTGAAATAAAACTGATGTCATTAGTTTACACATAAAATCAGTGAAATAAAACTGATGTCATAAGACATATAAAATCAATGGAATAAGACTGATGTCATAACTAACACATAAAATTAATGGAATAAAACTGATGTCATAACTTACACATGAAATCAATGGAATAAAACTGATATCATAACTTACACATAAAATCAATGGAATAAAACTGATGTCATAGCTAACACAAAGGATCAACAGAATAAACTTTTTTAGCTTACCGAATTTAATAAACGGAAAATCTTAAATGGATAAATTGAACAATACGATTTTAACAAAATGGAAAAATGAAACAACGCAATGCCCAGGAGTCGCACCTTTATCTTCAACTGCATTAATTATCCACATTGTCATAATCATTATAATTCAACTCACCATTACCCTAACAAATGGACTATTCCTAATCATACTATGTGACAAGAAAACGAAGTTGTCACCTACTGGAATTCTCGTGCTGTGTCTCACAATCGCAGATTTGATATCCGGCTTTGTGGTATTACCAATGATAACCTACATCCGGCTCGTTACTCCACTGTACGCACAATTGGGAATACAGGAGGACTCAAAAGAAACACAGAGGCCTACGTGTTTCGTGTTTTTGTTATTAGGGTTTATACCATACATTGTGTCATTCTTCATCATGGCAGCCATTGCATTTGAGCGTTTCATTGGAATGAAACTATATAAGTCACTGAATAAAACGAGAGCTAAACGAAAAGCACTTTGTGGTGGAGTACTAATATGGGTTTACGTCACAACTATTTGTGTTGCACTTTTCCCAAAATCATTCCGCTATGATCCAGTACAAGGTTGTCATCTAACATTATGTATGTCAAAACCGTTCCTACAGATTTTGAAACCCCATTTGTGGATTCCCCTATGTCTTTGTATAGTATTTTACATTGGAATATATATCACAATCGTGAAACACAGACAAATTGTTAATATAGAGACAAACGGTAACCCAATGAATACCTTCAAACATATACACGAGGAAAGATGGGTAAAAACAATATTTTGGGTTCTTGTTGTGTTTTATGGAACATGGTTGCCATATTACATAACAAACTCACTTATTACATATGAGGAATGTATGGCGGCATGGAAAAAGAATATGTTATATTCAATGTCCACTTTTGCTTTTACAAGTTCAGTCGCTAATCCATGGATTTACACATATAGACACGCCACCTACAGGAAACTGTTAAAAAAGAAATTAAAGCGATTGAGAAAGTGTATGAAGTGTTGTAAAACATGAAGTTACATTTTAAATGTATTCATCATGACAGAAGATAATTGACAAATAAACAAAATATAAATCAAGGAGGGTTTAGGTGGAATTCAACAACCAATACATGTAGATGTGACACGTGTAGGAAAGTGTTGAAACAGTACAATGGGAAGTATGAACTGTTGTCAGGTTATAAAACTGTAATGAAATTATATTTGTGTTCATTTGCAAATCATTGATGCCTTATTAAATGGTAAAGTTATTTCTGCCATTGCTGAGGAAGGATCAAATAGGTGGAATGATTAATATGAAAAAGGCCAGGTAAATTAAAGTTTTATTTTCAATTTAAGAAAAAATATTTATTTCTGTAATATTTTGCAGTTTGTTCGTATATTTCATGCTTGGCTACTATTTGTTTTCTTAGAAGAAAAATACCGAAATCTCTAATTCCTTGAAATATCTGTAAATAATTAAGACATTGGAGTGCTTCATACCATGGGTCTGAAGGAGACCATGCAACTTTAAGTTTGAATTAGAAAAACGTCTATTGTATATAAATGGTTTCTGTTATATTTTGTCAAGGCAGTCTAACCTCATATATCTCACGACTGTCTACTCCCTTTGTGAATACTGGTTTCATATTTTTCTGCATTGGAAATAGACAATTAGTGAAAAGTAATACTTAGTTATTGTGATAGAGACATTTGAGAAACAGCAATTACCGTAAAAATTGTAATTTTGCCTATCTACCATTTTGGCTGAGATTCTAATTAATGAGAGTAAATCTTATATACTGTAAATTAAGAAAAATCTTCAATTATTTTTAATGTTTCACAGTACTGTCAACCCCCAAAGATTTTCCCGCTGGACAGATTTTTAGACCCAGTGCCCAAAATTTGCGGGATTTGCGGGACATCTACTAAATTTGCAGGATTTCGCGGGACATTTAATGGATTTGCGTGATTGCACTAATAGGCCAATTTTTTTTTATCTAATTCGCAGGATTTCGAGGGACCATTCTTATTGCGGGACAGTTAACAGGGTAACCAATAAAGACTTCATAGAGGGACAGATTTTTTAGACAAATTTGCAAGATTTCGCGCGACATCCACCTAAATTTGCGGGATGTCCCGGGACATCCACCTAAATTTGCGGGATGTCCCGGGACATTCAAGGGATTTGCGTGATTGGGACTTAAAGTAAAAGTACTTAAATAAAACTTTCAGATACTGATAATGCACTTACATTGTAACTTAAATAAACGTCAACACAATTTCACACAATACGCATAGGAATATTATTATACTTTATTGTAATTTATCAAAACAAAAACCATGCTTCAGGTGTGAGAACCGTAATCTAACACGAAATTCAAAAATTCTGAACAATACTTTGCACTTATGGCGTTCGTGACCAAACTATGAAACGCTTACCACCATAGTATTATATACTAGGATGTACCTATTCACGGGACATTGCGGGACACGCAAATTAGCCTAATTTTGATCAAATTGGCGGGATAATCCCGCCATTCGCGGGACACTTGACAGCTCTGGTTTCAGTATTTTATGAAACAATAGGTTATACTTTAATATTTGACAATGTAAAAAATGTGAACATTGGCGATGGCCACATAAGCTTACACAATTATTGAACTCACATATACGTTAAGACAGAAATAACTAGACATGTAAATTGAACAAGTTCAATTTAAGACTCCAGATTTCAGACTTTTTTTAAGCTGAGTCTAAACTGCATAGACATTTACACAACTCTTAAGAATGTTATCTTCGACTCCATTGGATTAACATGGGGATATGATCATATCGACTTTTCGAGACTTCAAACTGCTATAACTATCTAACCAGAAATTGGATCGAAATTTGGTTTAAAGATTCTGATTCCTGAGAAAATTCTTTCCTTAATTCAAACGTTAAATTTGAAGAACTTTTTATTTTGAACTACTTTGCGGACACCATATCTCAAAAGTGGATCAAAATACTTTATTTTTTGATGGCAAAAGGCTAACACTTTAAGCAACTCTTTACTACCTGTATACAAAATTTCGAAGCAAATCATTAAAGTGTAATGTCAGAATAGCAAAAATAAGGAAAAACTATGAATTAGACCTAGATTTTGACCTAGGCATTTTGGTGTCCAAATTTTAAAGTTAGATAGCCTTCGAGGTCCCCTTCTTTTATAGGCTTTCAGAATGTTAAGCTGTACTCAGTCTATATCTGGTATTTTACACTTCAAAAAATCTTTTTCTCATTGACATAACATGGGGCACCAAATTTAACGATTTTTAAGCTTTCAAAACGCCATAACTTCCGAACCGAAAGTTGGATTGAAATTTTGTTTGCAGATTCGGATTCCTGAGAAAATTCTTCCCTTAATTCATAACTCATACGTTAAATTTGGAGAATTTTTTATTTTGACCAACTTTTCGGACACCATATCTCAAAAGTGGGTCAAAATACTACCTGACGGCAAAAGGCTAACACTATTATCACACTCTTTGCTACCTATATACAAAATTTGGAAGCAAATTATTACAATAGTGTCAGAATCACAAAAATAAGGAAAAACTATGAATTTGACCTAGGCATTTTGCTGTCCAGATTTTGAAGCTGCTAGTTGGATTTTGAGGTCCCCTTCTTTTAAAGGCTATCATTATATTAAGCTGTACTCAAGTCTATATCTGGTATATTACACTTCAAAAAATCTTTTTTTTTGACTTAACATGGGGCACAAAAGCTTTTTTGAGCTTGTAATTACAAGGCCGTAAACGAGGCCCGTAAGAAATCGTAATTTTCGAACCCCATACTTGCTCGCACGGTGCGTATTACGAGGCCCGTAATAGCTCATAATCTTTGAGCCTTATACTTGCCTGTAACGTAGTGTCCCGCTTGTGCCACTCCTGTTGTCATTTTTGTAGAGAAAGGCCGGACATCCCAATCCTGTAGCGGATCTTCTCCCTTACATGTACTTGTAAGTCACAGTAAGGGCCCAAGATGTTTCGAACTCGTGGCTGGTGGTCCATGATATGTTTTTCATTAGTAGCCTAATGAGGTGAGAGGGATTGATTGTCCCCGATTTAGTTTTTGGTTTGGGATTGTCTCCTGTTGAAGACCATTAGTTCTTTTTTTGTATTGTATTTCTTTATTTCAAATTATAACAATAAACACAAGTACATTAGTGGCTTTGTAAGGTACATTATAAGCCAGTTAGAAAGACAGTTAGTTGGGTACTAAGTATATTGGTATCATAGTTTGGTTATGTTTTACAGTTTGTGCCTGGTTGTGTTTTAGTAGTGTAGTTTAATTGGTTCAGTATTGGGTTGCGACTGATCCTGTTGCGGTTGTTGGTGTCAAGTTATGTTTTGTTAATTCAACAATGGGTTGATTTGAGTTTGGTCTCGTTTGCTGTGTTGTTTTGGTGTTTGTTTGTCTGGTTGAGCTTGGTTTGGTATCGGGTTGTGTCTCATTTAGTTGTGTTAATTTCAAAGCAGTTGTATTCTGCTCTGATTGTGTTGTGCTGGTAGAGTAGCGGGTTTTGCCAAGTGGGATAAGGTTTTTGACTGTGTCAGATTGTGTTGTTTTCAGAGAGTGTCGGTTTGGAGTTTTGGTACTCCAGTTTGGTTGTGCCTGGCTGTGTTTTGATTCTTTTGTGCTGGTTTGTGCAAAATTGTGTTGTGCTTCTTCAACAATCGGTTGTGTTTTGCTTTTGTTGTTTAATTATTGGGTTGGGCCAAATTGTATTGTGTATATTTGATAATTGGTTGTGTTTTCGGAGGTTAAAATTATTAATCTATCATTGAGTTATTTCTCCCATGGTAGGCACAGGTACTAGAGTAACACAGCTTACACTTGCCCGTAGCCAGCTTTTAGAAGGGGGGGGGGGCTTTTTCCAGGGGGGGAGCTTTTTACAATTTTGGCTAAAAATCATGCGAAAAATTCGCAGAATGGTGAAAGACTGCATGATTTTGAAAGAATATCTGGCCAGCTCCCCCTCCCCCAGCTCCCCCTCTGGCTACGGGCCTGTTACATGTATGTTTATCAGATTGTTACACCATAAGTACCGCTAAATAAAGCTAAGATCACACCAACGCCGCTTCAGATGGCGCTTTGAAGCGGCATGCAACTTTCAATAATAATACATGATGATGTTGCAATGACTTTAAACTAAAATCAAAACCAAGGCAAAGAAACAAACTTGTTTGTCAATAGTACATGTTGCTTTTATTTTGTCACAGGGTATAGATCTGATCTGAGGCCCGGGTATACTGTCATTAATAAAAAATCAGAAGTTATTCTTATCCATTAAGCTTATAAAAATCAGTCTTATTCTTATACATGTAAGTAATCTAGTAAAGGATTATTAATAAACATGTATACAACACGCATTAACAACTTATAGGCCATCAGCTTC